CAATGGAATTACGATAAATTATCATTTTAGGTTAATTTCTTCCAACAGTCTCATAATTTGTAACATTCATTGATCAAGACGTCCAGACCTGCAACCGAAAAATTTTCTATAGCGCGTTAGAAAACCAAATTTCCGTCGTGGCGGTTCGGTAAATCCGCCTATCTCGCCCCGGGCCACCAAATTAAAATACGACGAATATTTATGCGTCCCGCGCCCATTTTGCTTATTTTGGAATCCCCCAAAAAAGCGGGCGCGATATATGAGGGAATGATGAGAGCATGAGGTGGAGGAGGAATTTAGAGTTTCGCAAGCTGCACAAGTGGGCGCTATGAAGGGCCTCAAGGGCTTCCGAACTGGCCATTTCCCCGAAAAATAAATCGGGAACGTCATCAACATGATCTAAAACGTTAATATAAGCTACGTATTTGCTTATAAAAAAAACTTTGCAGGTTTTAGACAAATTTAACTTTGAGTTTCACAGTTTTAACCGGAGAAAAATTGTTATTTTTGGGGTTTTTAACACAAAAAAAGCTCGTGGATTACATATTGCGGATGATGCAGATCATCACAATTATGTTTATAACAGAAACCTGAGATTTTTTGCAAAAAAACCGAGCCCAAATCGAAAATCTTAGTGAAAAACTGATGTTGATCAGATTCGTGAGTGAAAACGAAAGTTTAAAACCATTAAATCAGGAACATTACAAAAAATAGTATATTTAGCCAATTTTATACAATTAGATTTCTATCAAGGAATTATTCTGTAACCAAAAAAAAAATAATTGGCATCTCCTCCCAGCTCCCTAGAACCGTAAGGGCAAAATGAGCACCAACTTCCAAAAGTAACCCACCATAGCATGGAGGCGTTCCGCTGAGCCAGACAAATGGCCCACCCGGGCTTGGGTTTAGGCGGGCTTAAAACAGCTTCAAAACCCCGTCCATGACCCTATTTTCCACTTCACCCACCGCACCCGAAAAACAACGGCCCGCCAAAAATAAGCCCAAACTTCGAAACGGGGGATGACGTTGCAAAAATCACCCAAAATCCCATCAGCCGTCATCTGCCGGGCGTGACTACGGTAATGTGCCCTCAGGGCTAATGGATTTCCCTTGCCTTAACCCCCCTTGAATCCATCACCCTTAAGGCCCGGAGGCAGTTTTAAGGGGCCCAGAAAGGGCCCAGGCCCTTTTCTGGGCCCCTTAGTAGTACTCGAGAATCCTATCGACACCCCGGGTAGAAGGGTCGTCATAACATCATATTGAAGATGATGATATTGGTCGCGGGATACGAAAATGGATATTACGTGCGGGGTATGGGGCTGCGAAATCTTACGGGTTTGTCGGGTGGTCTTTGAACCGATATGGGTGCAGGCTGAAGCTAGATATTTGAGGTTTTGGGTTTTGTAGGCATCGGTAAATGGGATAATCGATGTTTCGACTCAAAAGCGAAAATGCTGAAACGTTGACGTCCAGACAGGCCAAAATCCCGACGGCAAAACCTCGACCGCTATAATGCCGACAAGCGAAAATTCGCTAAAAATTCTCGATAGCCAAGAAGGAATGGGTCGAATTCCAGACAGCTAAATTCCCAAAACCCCAAATAGCCATCTTCACGAGAGTTAATCCCGACAGCCAAACCTCGACAGTCAAATTCCCGACAGTTAAACCCTAAAACCCGAAATACCGACAACCAAAATCCCGTCAGCTAAAATTTCTAGATAAAAAATTCCGACATGCTGAAATCCCGAAAGGCTAAGACCCAGACAAAATGAAGCAGAACTCAAAAGAAACCATTTTAGTGATCTTAAGTTAAGTCTTAAATTTTAGATTAGCTTCGAAGAAACCTGGTTAAATACAGTTAAACAGACGACTAACCGTGTTTAACGGATTTCTGAAAATATTGTTTTGGTTTTTGAGCTTCTAAGCGTGACTTTCCAAGTGTTTTTTTGGAGTTTTCCTGCAAACTCTAATGAAGCTGAGAGCGGGGGTGAAGTGGGCATAATTTCAGGTTAGCCCGGGGCACGAAAGCTATCCACTTCTAGGCAACTATGATGTGTTGACCTGAAAGTCATGTGGCGATGGGCTGAGTGCGTTCTAAAACAGCATCAGGTATTCCAGGCAAAGTTCAGACGGCAGCCCCTGGAGGAACACAAAAATCAGATCCCGGCCGTCGATCTTCTGAGCAAATACCATCTTTTATCCCATTTTTTATTGAATATATCTATTGGGCAAAAACAGCCTTATTGACACCTTTAAATACTGGCCAAAGTCGGATGAGAATCTCGATGCCGTGCCGTTTTCAAGGACTCACTAATTTAAGTGATGATCTTTCATGACAAGCTTCTTCAATAATGATAAGGTATCAATTAACCAAAGGTTGATTGCGGGATACCGACAATACCGACAAATCCCGAATAGATGCAAATCGGTTTGGTTAGACCCGTCATTCAGTACAGCACAAACTGAAAAATATCGACATACTTGACCCTAATTAGTGTGTTGGCAGTATTTTTGGATTGTTGGTTGATTTGGATCTCGGGATTTTGATCTTGTCGGTTAAGCTTTTTACAACCCTGAAATTAATTTTCTATAAAACCATCGATTCTTTAAAACTCTGCAAGCTATAAAACACTCTCCCACGCGTCATTTCCGTTTAAGAAACGTGGGGGCGTAATGTGAGACGTGAGACACTACGCTGGCCCCCTCGTATCCAAAAAGTGAAATTTGTATGATAGGGGAGGGGAAGAGGCTGGGAAAATGCAGATTGGAGACCGGGGGTGGATATGACTTGGAGAGGCAGACGAAGCGGCTCCGATTTCATATAGCAATGCCGGGCAGGCCATTGGCTCCTCCCAATGGCCCTTGATTTGCATCGAAAAGTGAAGGCGGGGGTGGCGAAACTCAAGAATATTTTTATCTGGTTTAAAGGTATGTTGAAGTGACGTGATGTGCAAAAAAGACGGCGAATTCTCAGAAAAATTAAATTTTTTTAGGACCAACCGTGTGGCAGACTCATAGAACTTCATAAAAATCTGTTTTAAATTTTCCTTGGGTGCGTTTTTAAAGGGCCCAGCAAGCACCAAAAATCTACACTTCTGACGACGGGGTGCCGAAAGCTACGTCACAAGCGAAAATCTGGCAACTCGCTTCCAAAACAGCGGCTTCTCAGAAGCTACATCTGAAGTGCCTTGAGGCGCCAGAATCGACCCCTGACTGCTGCGCCCCATGACAGCAAAGCCAACTTGCAAAGCTATGCAAGCTAGGCTTAGGCTAGGCTTAGGCTTAGAGGTTAGAGGTTAGGCTCAGGCTGGGACTTAGCCTTAGGATGAAATTATGGCCCTTGTCATCGTTCAAAAACTACGCCCCATACTTTTGTCATTGCGAAAAATAGATTTATTTCTCATTGAAACTCGTGTGGCTTCAACTCCAACTCCTGAATCATTTCTGCCTTTAGTCTGGCAAAAAAATGTCCTGCCGTTTTTTCCATGGATTTTCGACCAAGGCGAATATTTTTTGAGAAACTCGGCACTTTCGTAGTAAGGAGCTGTAAATACCGTAGGTCAATACTGTAAATACCGTAAATGCCGTAAATAATAAACACGGTAGATGTGGTTCAGCTAATTTGTGCCGAAATTGCATCCAAATACTACATATTTTTCTTGCATAACGCGCCTAAATATAATTCCACATTCCATGTCGTCGTCGTCGCGTCGTGCGGCCGTCGTTCGGTGTGTAGCGTTCAGAATCGATCCGCTGGTTCTGGTTCGTTAGCGAGGGAGGATATCGGGATGTTAACCTCCCCCCCCCCCGTTAACAGTCCAGTACCTCTTCAAGCGTTGACCTCAACTCGCGGTTTCCAGCTCGGGCCCCGAGCAGTACGGTGGGCGCTACCGTACCAGCGAGGACGAGGCCGCCGATAGGGAGAAGCGAGAGCGAGCCGAATGGGAGGCCGAACGCAAAGAGGGGCGGCGATTTGAAAAAAAGTTGGAATTTACGATAAATTTACTAAGAAATTTACTCGGCACTTGGATTTAAGTTTAGCTTTGACAAGCTTAGACGTCGGTTTGGTATTGTGCTTAGGTTTAGGCCGGGGTATAGGCTAAGCTTCAACTTGGGATTAGGCTTCGGCCTAAGTCAAACTTCGGCTTAAGTCAAGGCTTCGGCTGTGGCTTAGGCCTAGGTTCATGCTATGGCTTGGGCTTCGGATTAGGCGCATGCCTAGGCGCAGGCTTAGGCGCAGGCTTACAAGGTTTGCTTTTTTTGAGTCATCGGCGAAACCTTACGAGACCTAGCTCATTCGATAAAGAATTCGATTCTGAACAAGACCCCGTTAGCCTTTTTTGCGGAATGATTATTCCTAATTCTTTAAAATTAAAAAACTAGTGATTGTCTCTTACCATGAGTATCCTTCGAGCGACAAGAGAGGCTTTCGAGTGCAGTTTTAAAATTTTATAAAATCAGGAATAACGATTCCGCAAAAAAGGACAACGGCGTCTTGTTCAGAATCGAATTTTCTATCGAATGAGCTAGGCCTTGTAAGGTTTTACCGATGATTCTAAAAAACACTCCTTGTTAGGCGCAGGCTCCGAAAACCCCCGATTCCAATCATTCCAGATTACATTAAGCCAAAATTGCAGATGCATCATCTGGGGCCTCCTCAACATCGTCCCCTTCGCTTTGATATTATTGAAATCCGCATGTAGGTGAATTCCGACTGTTACGTTTTCGGTTCTGGTTCGTTAGCGTGGGGGGGTGTGGCGTGTATAAGTATACCCCCCTAAAGAACCAGAACCACTTTTTCCGGAAAATTTAGCAAGTCAGATTTTTTCGTTTCAGATAAGGAAGCCTACGGTCCCAGGCCTGTCACTGTAGCGCCGACGATGCCGAACACGACTGGTACGACACGCCCACCGGGCGCAGAGATAATCTCCGGACACGACGACCCCGCCGAAGCGTTCGAAGCCCTCAAACCCGCCAACCGAACCGGCCGCACCGTGGAGATGACGCCCGATGAGTGGGTAGCGGGATAGCAGATCGAATTTTATGAATACAGCTGGCGATGTGACGAACTTCCAGGCTTGAATTCCATGAGTACTTCATCGAGCCGTGCCTGCCTCAGGTTAAGAACAGTCTGCGGCCGGCCAGCCAATGTGCTAGGTGGTGTTTTGAGCCGAGAGATGAGAGAGAGAGAGAGAGAGAGAGAAAGCGAGGGAAAGCGAAAGATCATTTGACTCTTTTCAGAAATTTCACCGCCAATCAACCCGTCTACTCCCGACTGCTCACCCAGGAAGTCGACCCCAACGCGAAGTCCCGGCTCATCCACCAGCTCTACCAGATTGAAGGTCAAAAATAGTTTTTGAATTCGACTAAAAACCTTAAAAAAATTCAATCAAAGATACAAACTTGAAAAGGTCTATTTTTTCAGATGACCCAGAATACGCGGCCCAGCTCGCCGATCTGCTGTACGGACACTCGGGCGATTGGCAGTATGGATTACGGTAAATGGAACAAAGTATTACAGCAGGCTTGTTCAGCTTCATCCGCGACTTCATGAACAACAACACGTCCAGCCGGGACACCTCGATTCTTCGCTTACTCTCCAAAAATGGACGAGTCCGAGGCCGCCTACTCGAGTTTCTGGAGCACCACGGACCGGAGATCTACGAAAAGTGGGAAAATCGAGTCGATAGTCCCTAAAAAAAGAATTTTGGACTTTGCGACGTCTTGAAAAAGTTCAGTTGAAATTGTCTTCAGATTAAAATTTGGTTCCGATCCATTTTGACTAGTTTTGCGTGGAAAAACAGTGGAAATGCCGACAGTGTAAATCCCGAGAAGCAACTGAATGGAACTAATTGCGTTCGTGCTTTCGACTGTCGGCATTTTGTTTCCGCAACTGTCGGTATTCTGGCCGAAAAAGCCGTACTGCCATAATGGGAAGCGTCTTTTGCAGGCTCGGCCAGCACCGTAGGCTTTGCAAGAACTTCTACGAGTCGCTGGTCCCCACCGCGACAAATTCGGAGGAAATGATGCAGGTGAGAACTGAGGAAATTGCAAAGAACTCGTTTTCGGTAAACTGAAAGGTATCGAAAAAGTACTAACAAACCGGGACTAGGCTGTTATCGGGGGGAGGGGGGTGCGGCGTGGGTCAGCTGGGAGAAATCTCCAAACTAGCAAAAATTTTAAGCGTTCTGGCGTGTGCTATTGCCTTTTCAGCAATTTGTTCTTACCAAAAACTCGTAGAAAATTAAAAATTAAAAAATAGGCGGTTTTTACTACCCTACCGGTTCTGATACTCCCCAGGACCAGGTTCCCCCCCCCCCCCTGCTAACATTTCACTGCCCCCTAAAAAGCCTACCCATTTTCAGGTCCACCGAATCCGCGAAAATTCCCCGGATGCCTCGCTGAAAATGGCGGCCTTTTGGACGAATCGCCTGGGGCAGCACACGCTTGGGCCATGGAGAAATTGAGAGAAGGTAAGGCCAAAAAATTCATAATCCAATATATTTCTTGTTTTAAGAAACACCGAACCTCTTGCCGTGCACTCCAACAGTCGACGTCGTTCTATGAAGAAAATCCCATTGCATAACCCTGATAAATCGTTGCATCCGCTTCTTCGCGTGTGCTTGATGTGAATAAACGTTTGCTACGAGTTTTTCGAATCAAAACACCGACGACAATAAAGAAGAAAACTAAAAACAAAATAGCTGCTGATAGAATCGACGCTCAGGATTCCGAATCTGTCCTCAAAAACCGAAAAGCTACAACTAGAAGAAAAATTTGGTTCTGTAAAATAGGGGTGTTTCAGGGCGCAATTTCTTTATTACAATTTTGCGCTTTCTTGTTTCATCCAGTTTTTCGGGTAGTGCCAGAAGGCTCCGATTGCGACCCGGAGACCGCGGATTTAGCTTTACGAAATCCTCTCCACGAGTCGAAAGACCTTGTATGCTTGTATCCAATTCGACAATTTTCCAGACACTCTCCCCCTCTCTTTCTCTCTCAATCTTTCTTTTCCCGATTGCCAGTCAATGCCAGCCGGCAGTGGCTTTATATTTCCTCGCATACTCAAGCAGCGCAGCGTTTAAAACCACGATGGCCTATGTTTTGCGTCCATCACACCCTTCCTCATGGCTCTGATTTTTATCCTACTTTTCTTGGCGGCGGGCCCCCTTCCGTGTATGACGTTTTCGTTCTCGTTTTCTTTCCAAGTCCTTAATGCCAGCTATGAAGCTGGGCACCAGCGGGTTCCGGTGGGTTGACGAATCGAGCTGAAAGGGAAAGACGGCTACATTTTTCGGGTGACATCCCAGTTTTGAGCAAGTCAAATCTACCCCGTATAGAATTTTGCACTGATCCCAATTCTGTCTTCAAAATTTGTTTTTCTGAATTTTGAAGAAGTTACAGCGCCTTCTAGGGCAAAAATGCTCAAATTAGCAGGGTTTATGCTTGTTTTGACGGGGATTGGGACTTGCTGCGCATCCATAGCCAGGAAATGGCGACCGTTCCATTTCCGAGAACATTCTCCGTTTTAGGGCGACGAGACGTACCTGCTCGAGCTGAAGGAATACGATGTTTGGCCTTTAGAAAACGACAACTTTGATCATTGCACCGGGCATATGTACGGTTAGTCACAACATTTTATAAAAACCAACCGAATCGTACAGAAGAAAAGCTTTGCGGTGTTACCGGGACCGACAAGTGGGAAAATGCGTGGAATAACTTCTACTTGAAATTCCACGTCAATGCTGCGTACACCAAGGGGGCGGGTCAACGGGGGAAATGCGAAATTGATGGCATTTCAGGATGACCGTCACCGTTGCATGACGTTCGGCACGCAGGACGCCTTGACCTCAATCCATAGAGGTAATCGCGGGAAGTAACGTGGCGTGGGAAACAGCTGCGTTACGGTAGATACAGCAGAAGTTTTTTTGTGAATCGAGTTTTGAGATGAAAGACTTTAAAGACTTACAACAATGTTATGCCCACATTTTTCGCAAATTTCCAAACTTCACGGCCGATTATTTTGCTTTTCTTGGCTGATTTTCCAAAAATGAACATTTGCCATTGTATTCAGAAATTCTTTTTATGGGATTATCGGATAGGCTACCAAAAATAGAGTGAAACGTTCAAAAAAATAAGCGCATCTCGACGGATGACTGCTCACGAGCCTAAAAATGTTCTTAAAATCACTGCAAATTTTTAAATCGAGCTAATCCACAAAAAATGACGCCGGGTTTGGGATCAGCGAATTCTGCACAAGATAGACTAAAGCCCATTTTGAACCGACACCTTGACCTTTTTCGGCATAAAGCGCACGTTCAGGGAGGGGCCGTGTACTCGTCCCAACGTGTACACCCTATGGACGTTGGGACCGCGCGCACTACCTGCCCGTGGCGTGGCAGGCAATTTCCCACCTTTGCGGCGTGGGGCGCCCCTCATCCCTTCGCCAGGTTGTAGCTGTGGCTGACTGGTATGCATCCGCGCCTCCCGAGCAGGGGGCCCGGGTTCGACTGCCGGCCGCGGCAAAATCTTTGCTTTTTTCCAAAAAACGTCCCTGAACGTGCCCTTTAAAGGTACCCACGGCTCCGGTCGATCACCCGTGATCAGGGGCGTAGCTGACCCCAAGTTTCGGTGGGGGCAGCGACATTTCGGGGGCAGCAAGAAAAAATTTAGCTAAAACCAGGGTTGAAAAACCGCTTCGCGGCTTTTCAACCCTGGACCCGTCTAGGACTTCTGAAAATTTGACTTTACATAGGGCTTGCCGAATGCCGCTCGCCAAAAAATCAAAGGCGCACGTTCCTTCCATTTTTATAGGCTACGGCCACTTCCGGTCAATGCTAATTGCCTCCTAACAAAGAGGTTTTTCGATATATTTACAAAAACTTAATTTTGATGGCGAAAACAGCCGATTTTCTTCAATTTTATTTGTGTGCACCCATCTCGGGACCATCACGCACCTAATGACGTATCATACGTACCTTAAAAACCTTCCCCTGAGGCTGTAGGTGCGGTACATACTTACGGAAGTTGCATGCAAATATACACACACACACACACAGACACTATTTTTTTTATATATAGTAGGATAGCAGCGCCGCAGACAATAGCTGAAAGAGCAGCGCCGCAGGCAAAAAAAATGAAGAAAAAGTAAGAAAAAATTTTCAAGTTGAAAAAAATCATAAGGGGGGACCCTTATGTTTTTTTTCGGGCCCGCCGGATTTCGGGGGGGCAGCCTGCCCCCGCTGCCCCCCCTTCTACGCGCCTGCCCGTGATCGATTTTGTGGCACGTAGCCACAGGGCAAAGAACGTGCCCAGGGACGAGGTGCAGAGACATTTTTTTCCTTCGCGCCACCGATTACTTATGCCGTCGTTATCCCTTTAAGCATTCATTTGCGCAAATTTTACGGGGATGCATCGTTTCGTTGCAACACCTCCGAAATACATCAGCAGTTTTTCAGGCGGCCTCGGCACGTTTCGAATGTTCCCCGAATCGCCGTACTGCCGCCTCGACTACACGATCTGGACCGATGATCGTAAATATAATACGACCGGGACGCTCATTTGTGAATCATGCGATAGATGGGAATAGCACTAACGTCATGCCTTTCTTTGTATAAAATCTACACCAATAAGAAGCTAGAATTGCACCAGCCGGAGTTTTATCGTTCGAACGACGAGCAAATCACACTCTCGCTCTCTCTCTCTCTCTTCTCTCTCTCTCTCTCTCTCTCTCTCTCTCTCTTGCTCTCCTTCCCTCGCGAGCGCGCGCGCTTTTCAAAGCGTTGCGATATTAAATTGCTTTTATTTTCGATGACATTCTCTTTTCATACTTTATTAAATTCCAGGGCAATCGTGATGCAAAAATAATACATTATGAGGTTGATAAATACACATCGCCTACTACCAGACATCAGAATTTTACCAGGATTTTTATAGCACTTGTTTATTGAGCCACCTCTTTTCACTACCAGGTCATTTTCGGGAGGAAACTGTTTTGGGAGAAATTTCGGCTAGCAAAAAACTAGCTGACTAAGAAACGGGTCTCTGTCTTATACAAAGGGCTCTGTAGAATCAAGTACAGTATGAAAACATTTGTTGTGTCTTAAAATATTTCATTTGTAGTTTGTAGTTCACTTTCTTTTTAAGTCGATCATTTACAATTAGGTGGTTGCATATTAAAGTTGGTGCCGGTGTTTTGGGCTTGATATACCCTTTTAGGGCTTTTTGAACACCAGCAGTATTTGGACATCGTTCCGGTAAAATTGGTTTCGTAGTTCGTAATGCGTTTCCGCAACTGTACGCCCCGCTCGCTTTCGGTGTTTGAGGCCGTACTGATTTTTTTTCGCCGCATTTCTAATGGTGGTCGTTGAAGTTTTTGCACATTAACGACGGTGCGGGCATGAAGCGAACCTCAAAGGCTTCACACATTAAGAGAGACCAGTATCTCTCTCTCTCTCTCTCTCTCTCTCTCTCATTATCCATATGTATCATTATATAAACAGTATTGCGCCAAATAGTTTCCCATGGTCTTTAGGGAACGATGCCTTTTATCGAAAATCTTTTTTCTTGTCAAAACTTTCCGCAACTTATTGAGCAGCTTCGTTTCTGATCCTATTTTGAAGCCTCGAAAACGCGCTTCCACATACTCTATAACACCGTTTTTGTAATTCGGGTTGTAGAGTCCTGAATCCAGTTAAGGTTTCGATAGGCACTCCCGGTGCATGATGATGTTGATATTCTTCTAGCAGCTATCCTAGAAGGTGATTCATCACGAATGCCGTGTTTCTTTGAAAATTTGGCAGGTCGTTGGGTGTGCATCCTTTCGAGAACACGATATACGGGTCGATCCTCATCTTGAGTACGTATTTTCCTGTTCTGAGCTGCTCCTTGCGGACGCGATACAAGTCTTGTAGAGGTTCTTGTTGATCCTGGCTTGTAGAGGGCAGTTGGTTTTGCGTCGGGCGCTGCATGGCGTTGTTTTGTCGGATGTTTTCACGGGTGATCTTGACCTGAAAAGATTTTTTATTATCATCATGTCTACAGAAAGTTCAAACAATTTAAAGAAGATTGCAGTTTACACAAAAAAAACATACACAAAAAACATTCACATAATATGGGAATTTCAATTCGGTATTTCAACGCTCAATGCTAGTTCGCCGTGCAGAAACAATGTCCATGCAACAATTTGGGTTCCCTGATTCTCACTAGCCAAAAGAGCTGTTGAATGCACGATCATTTGATTTCCACATACGGGACTAAAATCTTCGAAATTCAGGCTAGCCACCATCAAATTGGGATTCTGTTGAGGCGTAATATATAAAGTTGCTGCGAAAGGTAGGCAACATATTCAGAAAACATTTCCTCAATATTATCCGTTAAAAACTGCCCCATTTGTCGACGGTGACTATCGAAAACTTCTTGAGTGCTTAGATTCCTTAAACATGATGCGATAAACAAGTAATTTGTTAGGATTGTCGACCCATTTCTTAGAGAAGCTTGGGTCCGAAGGGGTGTGTGAGCTAAACATAGAGATATGCATTTAATTCCTTGAACAAAATTCGCAAATTTTTAGTGGCTTTGTGATGATCAGGAGTACTTGGACGTCGTTGCGATAGAACTGGTTCCGAAGCTCGTAGTGCGTTTCCGGAACCGTTCGTCCCGCTCGTTGACGATGCTTCAGCTCATCCATAATTTTTTCGCCACCTTTCCCGTGGTGCGCGCTGAAGTTTTTGCAGATTAAAGACGGTGCAGGTCTCTTGTTTTGCATATACCATCGAACTAATAAGATTAGTTCATATGGTATGTTGTCGAACGACCTTTTGTTGTTTTCCCGCACCTCTGCATAATACTTCAATGGTTGTTTTGTGGCGCCTGTGACCAGTTCTCCTCGGTTTCCATAGAAATTATGGTTCGATTGCTGTTCGCATCGACCGGTGCATTTGGTCACGACGTCCAGATGTCCTTTGACGGCTACCGAGCCGTCCGGTTTTTTTTCGACCATACACCTGTCACGTAGGGAGCTTGTTCCCTACAGATCCTCTCTCTGCTTAGGAGTTCTTCTTCTTCTTGTAGAGCTTTTGCGTTGAGTCCTGCTGCTAAAAACATAAAACTTACATTTTTCAATCGGTATTTTCTACCTGATGTTGATGGACCTGCTGCACGGCCGACCTCGTCGGCCTGGGTTGTACTGTCGCACATGGTATCCGCATACATTCTAGTTTTTTATAGAGTATTTTTGAAAATTAGTTAACTGCCGAAGGTGACTTTTGTCTGTTTTGTTTGGTTGGCGACGTCCACCTTTGTCTTATTCGTCTGGGAGACATCTTCCACGCTTGCCACCTTTTTCTGGGGAGCTCCCTCTTGCAATCTAAGATTCTTTAATACAACTATATTTGAATTAATTAAGTATGAATTTAAATTGAACTACCTCCCCGAATCGCTCCTCTTTTTACGCGGTGTTTGAG